TTTTTCTCCTCACTCCCCCATCATCTTTTCATCACCCTATCACTTCCTCCATCTCATCCTCTGCTTCTACGTTCAGGCACGTGCATATCTCTCCAGGTACTACAGGGAACACAATGTGGAGCTGTCAAAGCTGCTGCACCGCCTCGGACAGCCCCTGCCCTCCTGGCTAAGAGAGGAACTGCAGAAGGTCAGCAGCATTAAACTCTGTGACTCTCAAAAACTACCTAACACCCCTGAAAGTTATTCTTTATAACCAATACATTTAAATTAAGTAAAATTGAAATACGGTTACGGGTTCGAGTCCCAGCTGACCTGGGGCCTTTCTGTGCGGAGTTTCCATGTCCTCCGTGTTCCTGCGTGGGTTCTCTCCGGGTACTCCGGCTTCCTCCCACAGTCCAAAGACATGTCAGTCCTGTGATAGACTGGTGACCTGTCCAGGGTGCACCCTACCTCTCACCCAGTGTCAGGTGGAATAGGTTCCAGCCTCACCCCACCAATCCTGTTCAGGAATAAGAGGTATAGATAATGGATGGAAAATTAAAATACATTTACACTGAGTAAAGTTCTGGGGTATTTTTTTTGTTGTTGTTATTATTTGACTGTCAGGACTGTGAGTGTGGTTTAATCACACTTAATCTGACACATATGGTGCTGACACCATAAGTGAACAACAAAAGTCATAAAACCTTTATGCAGATGTTGATAAACTCTAACTGGAGCATGGAGATACACTCAGTAGCTAAACAGTCCTGTAATAAATCTTCCCTTCATGACAGGTATAATGTTTACAGTTATTATTCTGGAGGCTGTTGCTGTTGAACTGTGATGCATTATACAGAGAGGTGTTTCTGATATCTCGCCTAGCCTCGTTGATATAAATGGGGCAGACAAAATAACAGAAACACCTGTCAGTGTAATGCAGTACAGTTCGATGGGACCAGGAACTACTACTTCCAAAATGATCATACAGTTGAATCAACACTCATTTAAAACAGAGAATGGACCTCTAATCTTATTGTATGGAAAATCCAAACAGTAAAGCAAGCAACAAAAGCAAAGTGTTTGGTTAGAGTGTCAATGGATGAAAACCCACCAGACAAAATATTGGTGGCTTGTCTGAGTATTTAAAACATGCACTTCAATAAGGCTTCACTGTGTAAGTGATTTTTGTGACTTTTCTTCCGCAGTGCTCAGCATTCTTTTTGTCTGTGTGCTATGGTGCTGATTGTCACTGCTTATAAATCAGAGGGAACCAGTTTACAAGTTCTGCTCACATTTTCTACAGCATGTTTGCTTTCTTATTTTCAAGGCTGCCATTTGAATCAATGAGTAAACAAAAAGTAATTAAATTACTTTTCCTGTTTCTTTTGCCTCTGCTCTGTGTTTTCCTCTTCATCCCCTCCCTCTCTCCACCTCTTTTTTAAGGTTAGATAACCTTTGCATCCATGAACCAGGGTTAAATGTCAAGGGGTCAGAGACCAGGAAGCAACCAGGAGCAGCTGACCTTCAGATGCACTGTCTGTGGCCTTTTAGTGAACCCTGAGGTGAAGGCAAGGACCGGAGCCTTGTTTCACCTAGGAGCTATGACACTGCTGAAAGGGGCAGAAGTCATGAAAGTGCAAAGGAACTTTTTGGGCTGAAAGTGAACACTGGAAAGGATGGACGGATGAGTGGCAGCTTCAGGTAACTAACGCAGCTCTGAAGAAAGTGTGAGTAAGAGCAAGAACCACTGTATGAGAGAAGAGAACTAAAGGAGACAAGGAGCATTTGGCAAGTCTTTGATGCCCATCCCTATTCTGAACTGTGGTGAACTCTGGTGTAGACCTGCAGTGATTTGGATGGTTATTACTGGTTTTATTTTCACCATTAATTTATGATGCCAGAACAGCGCTGGTCAGCTGTGCGTGGCTCCCTTAGAAATGACTTTGCACTAAGTTCTGTTCCATCTGTATCCAAGGTTTGGTTTGGTTTTACTTTTTAATAGGGTTTTTCGTTACAGTGAGAAGTAAGCAGGGAGAATAAGTGCAGACTCAGGGTGAGTGACAGGCTTGTTACGTTCCATGATAGGTTCTCATTGTTTTATGATTTAATTTCTTTAAGTGAAGCTAGTTTCTGGTAGATCTGGTATCCTTGATCACCCTTATAGATGTCTCGTGCAACTTTCACTGGAAAGTATGGGCTGGAAATAGGACACTGAAGCATGATGCAATGCCCGCTCATTATTTCCCTGTGACAAGCCACTCAGAGCAACACCGTGCCCATTTAGCACAGCACGAGCGCCGATGACTTGAGCACTTAGGAGGCACGAGTTTGTGGGTATAAAACAGACCAAAATGAGCCCAAGCAGCTCCTGTAACCGCAGACGATTTTTATTTTGTCAGTGTCTCATTTAAATCTCAACCATCTTGTTTTCTTTTAAAACCAGTGGCCTACGTTTTTTAGCTTCAGTTTGAATGCAAAAAACCCCAATTGTCAAACACAGAAACCAAAATTAAAGAAATGTATATGACTGATGGTATAAGATGGTTTTTTTTCTGAGCAAGCTAAAAACCACCTGAAAACACACTGTACAGGGACCCAACTGAACACATGCTTGTGAAGCGCTGACCTAAAAAGGTTTACAACAGATTGTCCACTAAGGTAAGTGAAAAGGACATGCATGACAGTTTGGTGCCTGTCGGGTGGGTCACCTTTAGCTAACCTACAGTACCACAGAATCAAGCATAGATCGGGCCCAAGAGTGTGGCACCTGAACCCGACTTGAGCCCAATGCGATTGAGTTCATATGGTGTTTTGCCACTTATCATTAAATCAAGCAGACGTTTAAGCGCTCCAGCGTTCTAGCCAAAAGTTTGACCTATGTGTCTGAACCCAAAACCTGAACATGGTTTCTGAATTTCTGTCTGAGCCCTCGGTTACCAGCAGGTCCCGTCATGCTCAGTTCAGGTATGGACACTCTATCTATCAGACTGTAAGGACTTTATAGATGTGGAACTTGTACAGTACCTTACTTCAATATTTCCATTTTCTGCTACTTTATACTTCGACTCTACTACAAATCAGAGGTAAGTTTTGTACTTTTTACACCACTACTATTTGATAGCTTCAGTTTACTTATTTTGCTGATTCATATTAATATTCTGATGTATGATTACATCTTAAGATATGATAACACTATTGATCAATGAGGGGAATTCATAAGCTGTCTAGCAGTGTATAAAGTAATTAAATTTAGCAGGAGTACATTATCCCACATCTTCAACTGCTTTTCCCAAGTGTTGTCAAAGTTTAAGGAATAGAAACAGATGACAGTAGAAATAAATTAACTGTTTATTATGAGAACTTCTGTTCTGCACCCCTCTGGTGATATTTAATATAAGCTCATTAGTACAGATACAGTAGCAGCAGCTTGAAGCTGAGTGGGAATAGCAATAATAAGCCATCTTTCCTGGGTCCTTTATTTAAAATTTGATTAGGACCTTTCTGTTTATGCACAGTATTTTTATTATGATTTTTGAATGTTTGGTTGTTTGAGTAGAACTGAAGCACAAGGATATGAAAAATAAAATCAGCAAATGTAATAAAGATTATACAAAGAGACAAACGTCTAACTTCAAAACCAGCACAAGAACAAAACAACCCTTTAAAAATGAGAAAGAGTTTTACGTTTAGTCTATACAGCTGCTTTCATGGCAGTTTTATAAGTGACATAATGAAGTTAAAATAAATCTTGGTTCGTTTTATATTTTATTCATATTATGTTTATTTTTTTTAATTTTCAACCTAAGGGGAAAAAGTACATGTACAGTATTGAATTATATTTTTTATAATAATGGCCATAAAGTTTTATTCAGTGTCTTTGTGCATTAAATATAATTAAACGTTTTGATGTTTGATTTTCCATATTATATACCATATAAAATGAGCTCCACTGTCTACATGTAATGTGTAGTAATAACCACAAGGGGGTGCTCCAAGACAGTGAAGACAACTGTGTAGCTGAGAGATGTTCTTAATATTTAGACAATCAATATAAATTATAATGGAGTTGCTCCCATCAACTTTCCAAGTGCAGCATTTTGTGCCTTCTGGGCTCATTAGTGAAATGAACTATCTTTTATGTTTATTTCTGTGCAAGATAAAATCAGACTGCCACTGTGTAATGCATCTGGTTGACACACTGTTTTGATTAAGTCATTTTATAACTCTACCTAGCTTTAGCAAAATACAGAGGAACAGGTTCAGTGTATCATAATTAGAAAATGTTGGCTGATCATGTATTTGAGTTTTCAAATGCATCTGACAGAAAATAATTTTATCTCAAATATATGAAAAACACAAATACAATCAGTCAATCATACAGAAGAATAGAACCTTTAAAATGTGAATTCTTGCTTCATGCAAATGGACAGCATGGGATAAGCAGGTATTACTAAAACACATTTATAAAAATTAGGCTTATTAATTGCATAACAAATGATCTGTTTTGAAACAAAGAGCAAAGGTGTAATGATAACCTGTCAACATTTCAATGATTGCTTTTAACATATTTTTGTGTTGTATAAAAATTACAAATGACTGATACCAGTTGCTTAAAGGAGTATTTATTTCGTGCAGCTTCTCACAGTAACATTTGGTCCCAGTTCTTAAATGTGTGTTAAGTCAACATGACGTTTGCCTCATACATGAAGACAACTCAGACGGGTGCTATTCCTGTAGACGCTGTGTGCGGGTATGTGTGCGTACACACTGTCTGACGCCGTGGTGCTCACTTTGACAGTTTGCCGTCAGAAATGAAACCTGAAAGAGCTCTGTTGTTCCAACTGCTGTCAGCTTTACATGTTTGGGAGAATGACAACGTGTAATATAAAGTGCAAGAACCACTTAGGAATCATACATGGGAGCACTAAAACATTTTTACATAAACAGATGATGGCTCAATTATTTGTCTAAAGTATACACATACAACAAAATCTTAGTTTATGAACAAACATTACATTACATTAAAACAACAGTCAGTAAACAAAATAAAAAGGCAGTGTTGTGTGTGCCATGTTTTCTTCCTCCAGACTAGTCAAAACCATGACAACACTGAACCAGGACTAAAGAACACGAATTAACAGTATTACTATGACAAATAAACACCTAAAAATACAGTTATATGCTTTGATTGAGAAACACTTTAGTCCCTTCAGTTCTCTCTAAGCAGTGCAGAGAACAGGACAAATACTGACTGGATTTGGATTAGAAATGCCTGAGTACTAAGACCTGAAATCCGCTTTTTCAACAAAGTAAAACAAAGAGCACACTGGTGAAATTTTACAAAACAAGAATGAAATGAGATTTAAAGACAAAATTCACTTTGCCAAATGTCAATATGACCAGATCGCTTACTAGAAAGCACTGCATGTCATGTATTAAGTACCTAACAGGGGCTCTTAGTGCAAGTCTGCAAATTAATATCATGCCATAGCTTAGTGTGTATGTGTGAGGGCATGCTTCTCTGTTGTACGTACATGTGGTCCATTTTCAAAATGTTTACTCACATATTTTATAACTTACAATAGCATTTTATAACAAAAGCAAGAAGAGAAAACTATTGAAAAAAAACATTTTAGTGTTTGCAATGTCACAACAAAAAGATATTTATGAAATTACTTAGCACCATCCAAAATCTTGCAGCTCATAAGTGCTAATGCCTTCCTCTCTCCAAAAATTAAAAATATTAAAAAAAAAAAATCCAGGAGAAAAAGTCCAGCACTGACTTGTCCTCTTCATTTGAAAGCTAGGTAGGTTACAGCTTACATCACTGGATAATCACATCATAACATCATGACATGTTACTCATGACTAAAATACTGTTGTGTCAGTTGCCACCAGACAAATCAAGTAACTCTTGAGCCATAGTTTCTGAGGTCATTCCTTGAGATGCCAACTTTTCAGTTTGATATTCTCCTTTCATTGCTTCTTCTCATCACGTCCCATCACCTTGTGTATCCAGGAGCTGAAGGCAGACACTTTGGTGTAGACGCCAGGGGACTGTTGTGTTCGGCAGGCGTGACCCCAGGATGTTACCCCATACACCACCCAACCTCCTCCCGCACGCTCACACACCAGAGGGCCTCCACTGTCGCCGCGGCAACTGTCCACACGCCTGTCCGACCGGACGCTGCCGGCGCAGAGCATACGGCTTGTGAAGGCGCTTTGGAAATGCTGCTGGCATTGGCGACGAGGAAGAAGGGAGAGAGGAGCCTGCTGGAGGGTCTTGGAGTAGGAGCGGCCTGGGAGAAATGGAGAGGTTAGAGTTGAAAATGAGAAGTGTTTCTGTGCATCTGTGTTTATTAGTGTCAGTGTCAGACACTCAAAGTTAAGACTACAGGGGATGGCAGTGGTCCAAATGGCAGAAGCCTCCAAAGCTTTTGCTCCTGCCTCTTATAATGTCTGCGGCCTTTCTGTAGTTTAATAGCTGTGATTTTCACTTAATCTCAGCCAACTACTTCACAGACTGGCACCAAAATTTATTTAAAATTGTACATTATTTACATTAGTTTCCACATTTATGGTGTACAGTTTCCCTGGCCAAGGGAGCAACAGACTCCACTGGACTCAGACTTATGACATTCTCACCAAAGGCTCTCTGACTTTGCTTTTTAGCACATTAGGGGGTTCTAACTTGGAGATACATTGACTTCAAGGTTTCTGGCAGAGTATAAGAGAAGTTGTTTTCTTTCATTTCATGAAGATTTCCATCTTTTTTTGCAATTTTTAAAAAATTGTTCAATTTCCCTGCATGCAAACCTTGTCAGCGCTAACTTTATTTGTGGCCTGGAGAGGCTGCAGACAGCAGTTTGCTTCCTCTAATACACATGCTGCTGTCAGTTGCTTTATCAGCTGCCAGCAAGAAGCCTGTAGCCAAAATATTTCTCAGACGCCCGTACCACAAACAGCTAGTAGCAACAAGTACATGATTCTTCCATGGCGTCTTTTAAACACGCTATAAACTGAACACAAGCCTCTGAAATTGAGTTTTTCTCTGTGACCACTGTTATAAACTACCCATGGTAGTTTACATAGTAGTGGCATGCATGTGTAAAATTTGCTTACGTGTGTGTGTGTGTGTGTGTGTGTGTGTGATATCAGAGTGGCAGCCAAATGCAAACAGCTGTAAAAAGCAGACATCTCGTTTAAGTTAAATAGCTGTTGCCCAACATCAAACACTGTAAATTTCCTGTGTTGTCATCCTACTTAAGGTCGGGCTCAGGTGCCACATGAATTCAACTGGAATTAGGGGAAAAGACACTAACCCCTTAGGAGGAGCAGGTTTTTGCTGTGACCTTGCCCCGTGTGACTAAGTTGCTATGATTAATGACATCAGCATGTAATTTGAAGATCACTAACAGATGTGTGTCTGTGTGCACGGTCAGGTGAATGAACAGATACAGAGCATGAAGTCAGACAATTACCGGTGCAGGACTCTTCCACCTTTTCTGTATTTACAGTTGACCTTCAAAATCAAGGAGCATAATTATGGATACAGCACGTGACTGCCTTACTCACCACAAATAACTAGTCTCTGTGTGATTTTATTTTAGTTTATTTTACTTATTGTTCCTTCACTACCTTACTGTTTTACACTACTACATTGTTTATTGATTGTTGGGGGCGTTTTTACACCGATAGACATCTGATTGTTGGACTTTGTCAGCTTTTGTACGTTCTGTTTCAACCTCTGTTTTCACTCTGACTTCACCTTTGATTGTCTCTGTCTGATTTTGTTTGCCTGGACTCAAAAGAAGCGTCTCTCGCTGGTAAAGAAGCTCTCAGTTTATCTGCCGGTCTGTCTGCCACTTGTGTCTGCACTTGAGTGTGGGGGGGGTGCTGATATTTCTTGTCAGTGCACATACCTACTATACACTAGTCACACACACACACACACACCCTCACCTGTGTCACCCCAGCCAGTAATGTGACAGTTGCTGGCTTGTTTGAGCACTTTCTCTTTCCTCATGGGCAGACAGGCAGGAAGGACATGACGGCTGAATTTCACACACTCTCCCGGCATTTGGCCTATCGCCCCTGGTGACAGATGAACCAAGGCCAGGTCATAGTCATTGCTATGAGAGTGGTAGCTTGGATGGAGGACAATTTGATCGACACCGTACTCCTCTTCGTATTCCTCAGGAACGAGGGTGTGGTAGTCTCCCACTCTGACTTTATACTGCTTGGTGCTGTTTCCATACCTACAAAGAGAAATGGAGGAATGAATTGAGACAGGCCATTAGAGGAAGAGGATGTGTGCATGAACAATCCCACTGCTGATGCATAAACCATGAGTAATAAAATTATGAGCTCTGGAAAGGATCAGAGATACTTGGGCTGGAAAAAAGCAGACAGAGTCATAAAATCTACACTAGTTGCCTCAGAATCATAATAAATTTTATAATTGGTCAGACCAAGTTACTACTTGGTTACATGTTCCCTCTTTTTCTCTGCTGTGTCTTCAGTCCTTCTTGAACACAACATTCTGTAATGGTTCTATCAGTTCACTTCTCATACTGCGTCTGGGGCCAAAGAAACGAAAGCTCAGACAGAGAATGGCAATAGGCAGGAAAGATAACAATAAATCTGTCGCTATGCCTTTATGCATTCATCTGACTCATGAGTATTTACTTTTTGGAGACTTGTGAACATTGTGAAATGGAGTGGGAGAGACAGAGAAGAGAGGAGCAGGGAAAGCCAGGGACAAAGACAGGACCAAAGGAGAGGGAGGGGGGAGTAGGACGAGGAGGAGAGGGAAAGAAGGAAGCCTTTAGATCGAGCCAGACCGTGTCCAGTTACAAGTGGTAGAGTGTTGCCGGAATGATCTCCTGACCTGGCAATGCCACGGTATTCCTGGCAGAGCAGAGACACTGCTGACTAGCCATTTATGTACAGTAGATATCTGTCTGTACTCACACACACGTTTTGATCTACACTATAAAGCTAATGGTGATTGGTACCAGACTATCAGGATTGATCCTGTACAAAAGGCAAAATCGCAATTAGAATGGAGTTTGAATGTAACATCTACTGTAAGTTACCTTTACAAAATGTTTTCTATAAGCAGTTAAAACCAGCTGGAGTTATATTACTGTTGGCAAGCCCCCAGCTATACTGCTACAGTGTATAAATAGGTTTAACATGTTGACAGCATGTGACCACTGACCTGAGGTCAGCCTACTAATCAGTAATGTAAGTGTAAGTGATGAGGTAAAACGATTTTGTTAGTAACATTTGGCAGTTGTAGTCTAACATGTTGTGGTATTGTTGTCTGTGCTTGTATAAAAAGTAAAAAAAGAAGTGGTTATGCCTAATTGTTGATGCATTTATATTATACTTGTTTGTTTGTTGCTGTGCATGTGTGTGAGCCTGTGTGTGCATGTATCATACTATATTGGTTACTATACAGTATATGAAAGGTGGCGTAAAGTCAGAAGTTCCTATTTTGGTCTGGTGCACTTACTTGCATGCAGCAACTTACAGTATTTTTTAAAGCTGTTATAGCTAAAGCTAACACACTCTATGGTAGCACCGATTTCTCCCTCCAGCGTGTCGGCATTGATGGATAAAAAACATAGTTTACCATCCAGTTCACTAACTAACAAAAACGCATGGCGTGTTGTTATGGTGCGTTATCTGTGACCTAAATATCAGTGAACGCTCAAGCTAACAAAGTAAACAAAAGTCTTCTTCCGGATGATGTCCAGTGCTGCAAAAGTTGAACCAGATTCAACTTTTTCACCATACGGGGCTGTGTCATTTTGCCAGAGTCCCCTGCTGTGCTGGTGCCGGCTGCCATGAATGCAATACCCCCATAGTAATAAATGGGGAGGCATGTGTTTTTTCATACCTTTGAAACTCAGTCTGAATGCAGCCTTACACACAGGTGACTGTGTGAAGAGTACAAGTGGGAATGAAGAGATTTAGTGAATGATTTGTGTCTGTCTTTAATGTGGAAACATTAGGATTTACTGTGGTGGAGCTCCTGCTGCCTGCACCGAGTGCTGGTCTTTCTACTGAGCCCAAACATTAGAACTAATGCCTGGTAACACCGCTAAAAAATCTTACATGGACAGTATAAATATCATATGCAGACTCTGTGGTTAGTGCCCTCACAAAACCCCAACTTTCGCAGCACGAATTTGCCAAGTCTGTCTCTGTTCGATTCATTTTCTTTTGCTGCCTTCTCTAATGGAATATTATATGATGGATTTTACTGGTGGCGCCGTGTGGAGGCCCACAGACCAGCTGAAGTTGAGATGAAGTAGCTCTGGCTATCTCCCTACCACCTGCAACACAACCACAGCCAAACCACCACTGATTACTGTGCACATTATAAACGTCCCCAGGCCTCTGTCAGACTTGAATATATTGAGGAAGTGGTAAATGTTATGAATGAGTTCAAACTTCAAATAAAGACATAAACCTGATGTTAAACATCCTTAGGTCTGTCTGAAGAATAGACAAATGTGTGCATGTGCGCACTCACATTTCCGTGAATAATTATAACTCCAAAACTCACATATATGCAGAAAATCCGAACATAATTTAAAAAGTGAATGCATTTTGGTATCAAGTATATGTGAATAAGTGTGTCTGACCTCTTGAAGCAATGTGCCGAGGTGAGAACCCAACAGGAGTCAATGAGAGTTGCTCCACACACCAACCTCCCATCCCCCCGAGAGCCTCGCAAACGAATTGCAGCCTGCCACGGCCAGCCACCCCTACAGACATGAACAGCCAACACATAGGCACATAAGCGCACACACACACAAAAAAGCTTATAAAAGTGCACAAATAACCAGAATCCACTCTACAGCATTTTAAAAATTGGGTCTTATTCAGACATTACTTAAAAAAACCCTACATTATACTCTGCTATAAACAGGGATCCAACACAGCAACAGTAAACATTAGCTAACCTAGCGGAACTAGTTTCCATGCTTTTGGGGATAAACATTTCATCTTGTGTTTTTGCAAGTGTAAACTTTTGGAATGTATTCTAAAACACACGCACACACACACACACACACACACACACACACACCTCAGATGCACATCTACCCAGAGATGTGACCACACACTAAGATGAATAAGCACAAATATGACCTTTCTCACTGTTTATACCAACCTCTCCTCTCTCTTATTCTTATGCTCCCACTTACCCACAGAGATTGTATGTTCATGTGTATGTGCAGACAAACTGGATAGTTCTCTCTGTGGCTTCAGATCAGCTGTTTTCCATCTAAGAGACGTGTTACTCTGAAAATGTGTCCATACTCTATATGTCTCCAGCAGGCTCTCTGTATGCTGTTATCCCCTCCTGTCCCTTCCAGCTCACCTCAGAGAGTTTTCTCCTCCTATGATCCGGCGCTGGCGAGTGTGTACAAGCCGCAGACCACAAATTGAGTTGACAGGATCTGACAAAGACAAAGCACGGACCACTGGGTGTGTATATGTGAGAGCATGTGGGAGAGTGATGATTGTTAAACCATACGTTTCAGACTTGCCTCTTATTAAATATTTAGACTGATGGAAAACACCATATTTCAAATTCATCTTTCATTACTACGTATGAACCTGAAATTAAGCAAATTATATAAATGAGAGATCATTTTCTTAGTGCACCTTTGTATATGTGAAACTCTACAAACAAAGGTTAAGTGCTTTTTCAGGAGATGTAATTTGTCATAATAAAGAGACAAAAGTCCTTCCTGCTTTGGTTTGACTTTCCACAGCATGTGCACACGAGATACCTTAGTCAGAGCATATGTGTAGGAAACAGCATTGTGTGAGTCTGCCCTGATATGTGACAGAAAGGGTAAAGCAGGAACATAGCTCCATTCATTCTACCATCTGGATATATGCACAGACACAGAAACCTTCCCTGCTTTCCTCTCAGTACTTCTAGATGTTTCTTTAGTCAGTTGTTCATTGGTTTTGCAGTGTATATGACAAACTGAAAGTGTTTGTGAAACACATTTGAGTTTTCATGAAGCTCCTAAGAAATGACAGGAACTCCATTTATTTTCAGACCTGACAAACCTTTGACCTCTTTGTAGCTGGGCTGGGATTCCCGATAGTCACAGATGATCCCAGCGTCCTCACTGTGGCGACAGTTGTGTGTGCCAGGTGCCTGTTTGATGCAGTCTGCTAACGAACGCTCCTCGCCGCTACACTTCACATTGTCCACGTGGATGGGCCCTGTCCCTTCCCCAAAGTACGCCATCACACGGGCCTTCGCCACCCCACTGGAGGGGACAGAAAGGATACACACTGACATTTCATGACTACTAATTGACCTCATTCAGACTTCAACATATAACACTGTAAAGGTTTGTCATGACCTAACAGTCGGGCAGTGAGTTTTTACTAGGGCTGAAAATAAAACAAGCTGCAGAAAGGTTACCATTTTTACTGCCACCTGTAGTCACTGTCTTTGGATTCTTCTTCCCATTGCTTCTGGTAAGTGTTTGGTCCCCTCGTATTCATACTGCACGTGGACTCTAATACGACTTACGCCTCTTACATTCACTCACTGACTCTGGTGGTTCTTTGTATTTAGTTGTTCATCTGTGTCACATCAAGTACCGTTACAGGGTTAAATCACTTTTATAATCTGATAAGTGCAGTTGTATCACTGTCCCACCTCTGACATTATTAGAAAATGACACACACAGAGGCCTGTAGATTGTCTGCGTGTGTGTGTGCCTCTATATGCTCTAACTGTGATTTAATTAAGACTGATAAATAACTCAGAGAGAGGATCTCATGTTGTGTCCCTGAGGTTTTAGGGACTCTTACATCAAATAGTGAGACATGTTGTGTTGGTTCTGTCTCCGATAGCCCCCGAGCACTTAGTATGACAAATAAGACACTTGGAACTAAGTGTAGAGACATCAAGCCTGCTTGGTGTGTTTCTGTGGTAACACACAGTAATAGTACAACATCAGCCAAAAATGCAACTTTATTTGTGTAACTTTACTTTCAAATGCAACTGATCAAGTTAAAAGGTAAAGTCAAGAATTTTCTTGTTTGTTTCCCTGAGTTTATCATGTATTGTACATTTACCATGAATAATCCTTAACATTTAGGATGACCGCTTTTGAAATGGCATTCCATGGTTTGGTTTTAAATATTTCAGTGGACAAAACTTTCAGTGGGTCTCCAAGTTATTGGAGGAAAACACCTTCAACTGTGCCGTTCTTGTCATACAGAACCGTATTTAGTTTAGCCACAGTACCAGCTTTGATCATGCCTGCTCATAGTGCAGGTGAGCAGCATATAGCACTGAGGTGGAAATACAACATGTAAAGTTGGAGATGGACAGAAAGAGTTACTTTTGTCATTTACAAAAAATATTACTATTATTTATATTGTTCTTTTCAATATTATTGTTATATTATTATGTTCTCATAAATGGTATGACATTAATACATGGTCCATTGGCCTTCCTGAGACCTTTTAGAGCAGACTGTATAAACTAAGAGTGTATATATAACAATTCAGTTGACAGTTTATACTATGAGCACATTAAACGCTGTGTCTGTGTTCTATTCTGGCCATTTATAGTAATATCTTCTGTTTGTGAGCATGACAGAGTGTTTGGGTAAGTGAGCAATTATTCCATTTTATGAAGAATATAGTGTGCATGTATGCATGCACGCATCTGGTATTACCCACACTGTGAGGGGTGAAACAAGTTTACACACTCACACTGTGGGGACTTGGTCTTCTTCCTGGGGACCAGATGCTGGTCCACACCGGGTAAATCACTGAACTGACAAATTGGTTTAAGGTTAGGGTAGGTAGTGGTTATGGTTACAGGAAGTCTCCATTAATGTAAGCTCCCCACAACTGGTGTGTGTGTGTGTGTGTGTGTGTGTCCTTAGGGACCTGCTGTGTATGTAATGACCTTTAACCACTCCCTGTGAGACAGGGCTTTTATATGCCTTCGACACGCTTCATCTATCTCTCATGCTTATGTGCACCAAATGTGGATTTCATTTACACACAGATGTGTCACAGGAAATTAAGTGGCTATGGGATGAGAATCCCTTGCTGAGATGTGATGAGACAGAAAATGAAGGCAGTCTGTTGTGGTACAGTTTTCCCTTGCCATCCCATTGCCATTGTTTTGGAAAATGGAACAGCGTCTCAGAGGGAAGAGATAATGGGACACAGAAAGGATGAGATGAGGTAGTTTGCTTTTCTGCGACATTTCTATCATTGTGAACGTGTCTTTTGCACAACTGGCCTGCCCTTTAACTGGATGTTTATCTTGGCTACACGAAAGGTCACAACTAAAATCCCCTAATAAAAGTAGCTGGCAGCACACCAGATGTCCATAAACTGCTCAAAAGCATGAGAGCAAATATGAAAGATTGATTCATGAAATTCTTCCGTTGTAGTTTAGCCTGAAACTCGAGACGTTCAAGACAAAGACGTAAAGTGGAAACAGAGGTTTGAGAGATGAAGAGGTAAAAGACAGACAGAGAAAGTGGGGGCTGAGTGTAAGACAGATGCCAAGTCTAAGAGTTGGTGATGGAAGTTGCAAACATAGTAGAGGATCTGGCTTCACCTCAGTGAACGTAATGTACAGTGTGCTCACATTGCAATACCACGGCTCACAACTGAACATTTTACCTCTACGCCAACATTATGACCAAAACTGAATGTGAAAAATATGTTGAAAATAGGAAGGACAAGAACAATACTGTGAGGATAGGGAATGGTGTGAGCTTAAGATACAAGTGTAAAACACTCCTTGCATGTACAGCATGGCATTCATCTGTGTGTTACCCAGGAAAGCAGGACTACAAAAAAGGTTAGTCCAAAACACGTGCACTTACATACATACCTGTAGCCCAGCTGTCGGCAGACCACCTCAGCGTTCCGATCAGTCCACCCATCGTCACACACCGTCCCCCATTGACCGAACAGATAGATCTCCACCCGGCCTTCCCTAGGGCTCTCTCCTCCCACAAGCCTTACTGGCACACCTGGAAAACCCACGCACGCCGTCTCAGCTCAACTCAAGTTTGTACTGAATGTTATTTAGCAACTAATTCCAGAAAAAAGCTTCAGACACTGCTGACATTGTGACAACTCAAGCAACATGTTGAAAACCAACAAGTAAAATCACTAAGTCATTTGTACTTCAGAGTGGACTGGCCATCTCTCTCTCCATGCACAATTTAATCACTATATCTTCATTTGTAAAGCCATTCTAGAGAAGGGAAATAAAGATTTCATGTTTTCTACTCCAGTCATTTAGAATACTTTACAGAGGGAAATTACAGTAGTATCCCAGACTGAATTCAGGGTTATTGTAAAGTCTATGGTAAATGATTCCTTTGTGTCCGTGACTTCTCACACAAATCCCTTCCCCTTAATCTAAGAAACACTCAGGCATTACACACAGGTTCCCTAACAAACCTGATCCTCCAGGCTAACTTGTCTAGTGAGAGGGGCATGTGCACTCATGTTGCTTGCAAGGCAAATAGCTGACACCTGTCTGATTTCACGCATGCAAACACTTGTGTATCCAGAAGGGATAATTGCTAGTCCTGCCACAGTAATGATAAAGATAATTTATTGCTAGTGGGTTTCACACGCTACCTCTCTTCTTCTGTTTCTCATGGTGTTCACACACACACACACACACACACACACTGGTAATCAAATCAGTCTAAGCATTAAGTTTAAACAATCCATTATCATTTGTCTGCACACATAGGCTAATACACACATGCATGCACAAACACTAATCTCATTTAAGTGGATGCTAATGTCCTTTCCATGTGTGGACAGCTTCAGGATCAGTTTATGCTTCATAACTTTGGAGCAACTTACTTGAGTCGCTAACGCCAGAGGGAAAGTATCTTTGTATAGTGTGTAATCATTTTGGAAATCTTAAAAACAAGCTCAGTGGTACTAGCATGAAATTGCTCTTTGTGTGTGTGCTGAATTGAATGACAGGCTGCATTGAAACCTTGTGTATGTAGGGCATAAGAATTGTAAGAGGGGGAGATTAATTGTGGGAATGTTTACTTCTGAGTTGGTGTTTGCTATTGAGGAAATGCTAATCGTCGTCTTCTTGCCTAGAAACACAGCTTTTCCCTCTCAACACACACACACACACACACACTCTACATTACTGCTCTGACACAAGCTCAGTGCGATGATCTCTGACAACAGAGTGAAAGTCCAGAGCACAGCCTGGCTTATCCGCTTTTTCTCCTTTTCCACAAACAACATGGACCAATCTGCCTGCGGCATGTTAAGCACACAAACACAATCACACATGTGAACACACACAAATGCTGTTTAGTAATGGCATAATTCTTTGGTGGGCATTTGTGGGGTAAGAGTGTCCCTCTGGCTTCTGCCAAACAATGTAATCCACCTAAACCAAACAAAGGAAACAGCTATTTCAGTCTGCGGCATGTACTCTTCCACCTTATTATCAACTTACGATATAAAAAAAGATGTGACATTTCATATGAGACATTTACCAGGCTTATCAGACTCACACCAGTTACATTCAACATCAGGACGGATGGCAGTGAAATGAACACATATACAGTGTAAGATGAAATCTGAGCCACTACTGGTTTCATTTAGCTGTATCCTTACACATCTTTGCACATGTCTGGAGGCTTTGGTTCACGATGCTCCCACCCTTCATCCATCTTTCAACAAACATTAACAGTTCTGAACCCTTACCTGTCTCCTCTTACAAAAAGGTAATGTTTTGCAGTCACACTGATTTTGTGTTTGTGTTGGTGTGCCAATATGTCAGCCCACTGGTGCCAAGTATTCATTCATTCTGTAGCTAGTAACAGTGAGAATTTAGATGAGTCGCATGAGGGAGATTTATTCTGTTTGTAGTAGGTCCATTTAATCATGATGACTTTACAAGAGGCCCAGTTATTAAGGCAGGGCCAGCCAACCGACAACTGAGGCTATTAAGAGCATGATTTTACAACATCCTCTATCTGTCTCTTGGAGATTGTTGGCTTTCCTTTTTTCAGAAAAACTAGGTCTAATTGGCTGCAGGCTCAGTTTGGCAGAGATCTTAGGAACAGATTTAGATCAACCTGCACTATTTTGTTCTCTGCATATTTTAAACAAACGTCATGTTCATCCTAGATGCCACAATTCCATGCACAACCCTTTGTTAGTGTTTAATCATGAAATATGAACTGAGAAGCTATGCTTTGTTTTTAATTTCTTCCTCATATTTTGTCTAAAACACTTCAAACCAGCTCTTATGTTTTTTAATAGCTTCCTCATATTTTGTCTAAGACACTTCAAACCAGTGCTGGTTTCATGCCAACATCATCCCATCAGCAGCTTTTATAAACTGATTTTACCACTGTGTGCAATAAATTTAAGCATTAAAAATGACAAATTATGTGCCATATTAATCCAACATGGTCAGAGTGTTTGTGCCATACTGATTCTATAGGCTATGGGACAACGACAAAGAGCGGTTTTTTATTTAAACAAAAAAGCCATAGCTAGTGCACTCAGACCAAACGAGGGTGTGCTCTACTGCTCAAGATGTGCAAAACTCACATAATATAAGCAAGCATGTAACCTCTTAAGCAGGTCTTACAGCAAGATTGTATTCTGCCTTACTAGTAGGAAGGCTGTCTCCATTGCGTTCAGGGCTGCATGCGATATTAACATCCTCATGGTGTGTGCAGTCATGACGGAGCCACTCCCTCCTCTTGCACAGCAATAGGCTAGGCTCGTTCCCTGTGCAGCTCACATCATCCAGCAGAATGGGACCTGACCCCATCCCAAAGCGTGGAACTGGGGTGATGTCAAGTCCTTCAGAAAGAAAAGTCTTCCCTGACCTGCAAGGTAGGCATGTACACACACATCCACACAAATTATATTACCTGTAAATAAGTGTGCGTGAATATGCACCTGTCTGGGGACATGCATGCTTCATCTTACCTGTAACCAAGCTGTCGACACACCACTTGTGCGTTTGAGTCTGTCCAGCTATCATCACATACTGTCCCCCACTGGCCATGGTAGAAGACTTCTAAGCGTCCCTCGTGACTCCCTGTACCCCCTACCAACCTAACTGTACCATCTGGAGACAAAGACAGACAGACAGACAAATAGGGGATATAGCAATGAACATCTTATTTTCCCATGGCCTTCCATGAGCATTAAACCAGCTTTTCAAAGAAACTGTTGATCTTGCTTGTGAACTTCATGTTTTATGCTACTGTTTCCTTCTTCCTTCCTGCCATCATTCCTTCTTCTTCCTTATTCCGCTTGATTTGAAAGGGTGGAGCAACCATTGACAACATCTTTTGTTCGAGTTAGGCATTCTATTAAACCAGTATGCACAATATCATGGCTCTGATGTTATCAGTGACACCTGTATTTGACGAGCCATGATGTGTGAAAGATCTCTTCTCCAGCGACTACCCTTTCCAGGACCATGGGTACATGCAAACCCTTTCACCATTATAAGGTGAAAATTTCTTGCAGGGCTTCTCTTCTCATATTTCTATATGTGAAATACTGTATGTGTGCGTTTCACTTATATGTCTTAGCATTTCTGAATTGCTAAGACAGGTGTTACCTTACCTGTAAGAGGGTTGCAGGACACTCCTGCATCTTCAGAGTGCAGACAATTGTGTTCCCCCCATGCACTTTTTGGACACTGCTCCAGAGTGAGCTCATTGCCTGTACAACGCACCTCATCCAGCCACACACGGCCTGAACTCTTTCCAAAGTGGGCCTGGCCCAGTGCTCTTGCCACACCGCTACAGGGAAAAGAGACAATACAGAAGAATAGAAGATCTGGCTTGAAGGTAATACTGACATCATGTAAAAGAGATGTAATGACTGGCCCTGACTTATAGAATGCAGGATGTAGGATATTTGTTTTGGTTTATTTAGAAACTGAATCAACTAAACCTATTATCTTTGAAATCTATTACTGAGAAATTTGCTACAAACACCTATGCAAACAGAAACAATGCAACACCAGTACCACAGGGGCACACACCATAAGCATCAGTGTAGTTGCTAAATATGCATATGTCTGTGGCGCAGGAACAATGAGCCTGATTCACTATCTAACCCCCAGATGTTCCTTACGGTTCACTCCTCTCTCTGTGTGTCTGAATGGAAAGAATACTTGTCATACTTTTGAAGACAGCGGGAGAGACAGACAGCTTGACACCCACATTAACACATCTCAGCTTCCTACTCTTCCTTTCTGTCATGCTTTTCCACACTTTCTCATTCTCACAATGTGTTTTCCTTATGCAAATAATTGTTTCAAATGAATGTGAATGTGAAACATTTATATGTGTGTCTGTGGGTGCCCCTTCACCTCAGCCCCAGCTGTCGACACACCACTTCGGCATCACTGTCATCCCAGTGGTCGTCACATATTGAACCCCACTGCCCTGCGTGGAAGACCTCAACCGTGCCCTCCGACCCTGACTGACCTCCCACCAGCCGTATAGGGAGTGTCACTGCTGAAACACACACATAGTCTGTTAAGAGAATCTATGCAGGCTGACACAAAACTCAATGGACGTTTTTCACTGTAAAATATAAATTCAGGACAAAACTAAAACTAAAACTTGTAGCACTATAGGGGGTTTGTACAGTAATCAGATCTTATTACTGCACATTCATCCAAACCTCTGTCTATCCATTACAGACCTCTATTTTCCCCATTAGGCTGGGCTACCTTGCTGTTGGGTGCAGGTGACAGCTGCAACCAGAGAGCACTCCTCTCCATTCCAGGTAGTCTTGGGACACTGGAGCAGGTCTGGCTCCTCTCCCTGGCAATTAACAGCCCTCCAGTGGACTTTGGCCATACCTGGACGAAACAGCGGAACCGCACGTGCATGACCTAAGATCCTGGAAGAAGATTAATTATGGAAACAAGTTACTTTTTCTAATTTAAAACTACTTTTTGTCCCACACATCACAAACAGCAAACCTAGCCTGATCTGATAGGAGGTGTTAAGACATTTTTCTAGGTACTTCCTATCCATTCGTCCACTTTCCACCACTTATCATGAGTCAGTTCAAGCTGTCAGCAGGTTATGCAAGGATGTCCAGACATCCCTATCCCCAGCAACATTTTCCAGCTCCTCCTGGGGAATTCCAAGGTGTTACCAGGCCAGATGAGATGTATAGTCTCTCCAGTGTGTTCTGAGTCTAGCCCAGATCTCCTACCAATTGGGCCTCCACAGGAAGATTCCCAGGAAGCATTCTGCCACCTCAACTGGCTTCTTTCAACACGAAGCAGCAGCTCTACTTTAAGCTTCTACTGGATGGCTGAGCTAGCCCAGTAGCCCTACATAAGATACTCATTTCGGTCATATTTGGTCGTATTCATGACCTCATTCTTTTGGTCACTCCCTAAAGCTCATGACCATAGGTGAGAGTTAGAACGTAGACTGACTGGTACTGTAAATCAGCTCTGCTCCCTCTTCACCACAATGGTCCAGTACAATATCCACATGACTGCTGATGCCTCATCCATCCACCTGTCAGCCTCATGCTCCATTTTGCCTTCACTTGTGAACAAAGACCCTGAGATACTTCAAACTCCTTCGCTTGAGGAAGCAACTCACTCTCAGCGCAAAGGAGCAATTCACCATTTTCTGGCAGAGAACTGTGGTCTTAAACGAGAAGGTGCTGACTGACATCCCAACCACTTCACACTTGGCTGCAAATTCCCCCAGTGCATGAAAGTATAGGTATGATGAAGCTAACAAAACATCATCTTCTGAAAAAAGCAGAGAAGCAGTTTTCCAAATGGGACATTGTTCACCCCCTGGCTTTTTCATATCATGAAAGAGAAATCCTGCAGCCATCCTAAAGGAGCCCATCTCAGAGCAAGAGGAAAGCAACAGTTTAGCCTGTTAACCTTGAGCCATCTGTATGTTCGTAATCTGCCAGTCCACAGGCAATACAGTCAGTAGACTTACCCCCAACAGCTTTCAGCAATTGACCATATGAAATTCATCAACATTTCCAGCTTTCATATGGCTTTGGACCTCCTTCCTTTCTGTAATGGATGTTCATCGATTTCAGTGTGAATATGCACATACGGCATGTCAGCATGCATGCAGTGCTGGTGTTAGTGTCAACATGTGTATTAAGTGCACAGGACGGCTCTCCGGGAAAATCAGATGTTTTCTCAAATGAATACACCTCATCTTATAAACAATGGCAATATGTATGATCTGTTCACAGGCTCCCCTCGACACCAAACCAGAGGCTCTTCTATCAAGACACCATCTCGTAGTCAAGATCACAAGACAGAGTTGCGCATGTATGCCTGACGGGTGTGCAAGAGAGAGAGACAGAGAGAAGGAGAGGGCTGGTAACAAGGTAAATAACTGAGCACTAAATGTATTCAAACACCCCTGGGGAATGTGGGGTGGAATGTGAACGGAAGCAAAGAGAGCGCATGCATGTGTGTGTCTGAGCTCTTGTGCGATTATCTTACTTTCCCATCAATTTCCTGTCATACTTTTACCATCTGTCTGACGTCTGCAGGCAGCTTCACATAGTGAATTATGGCAGATAGTGACTGTACTTGCACCATACACATACTGTATGTGAGAAGGAGAGCTGCAAATAGTGCATGTCTGAGCGCATGTGTGTGCAGGTGCTCACTCACCCCTTGCCCAGCTGTCTGCAAACAACTGCAGCATCTTCGTCGCCCCAGTTATCGCTACACACAGACCCCCACACTCCTCCCAGATAAACTTCCACTCTACCATCTAGCTTGGAGCGGCCTCCTTGTAGACGAACTGAGCCTGGGACGGAGAGAAGGTTCGAGAACAGTAGCTATATAGTAATAAATGCACATACAAGAGGCAGAGTGGAGATAAAAGATGATAGAGAAGATGTAAAAGATGCATCACATCATGTCATAATACATAAATGAGTAAGACGGTGTTAAAAAAAAAACGGTACCAGGATGAAAGAAAGGAAAAAAGAACAGAGGCAGGGCTGGGGTCAAAAGTAGAAAATTAACACTTCAGTTCATGACCTCCACTAACATGATGCTGGATGTGTGTGTCATCACAGTGCAACTGGTCAATGAGAAGAACCCACACCTGTTATTAAGTGTGTATTCATGCTACTTTGAGTACTATGAAAAGAAAACACAATAATGACACTGTATGTTAAAATTAGTAAATAGAGTATCAGAAAGTAAAAGATCTGTTAAATAGTTAACTCCATTTCTTTTATTACCATAGCAAGTGTTATAGCATATTTAGTGATCCACACATTGTTTTTCTTTTCCCCAATGAATAAATTGTTGAGTGGTTTTATCACTGATTTAAATATTTCACACATCCTGGTTAGAATTTAGAGTGCTTTTGAGGTATTTAATATATCTTGGTTTTCACATGAAATATGTGGTTTACAGTCACGTCGTGTGTATGCATTCATGTTGTTTGTCTTTGTCTTTGTCTTTATGTTTTTTGTACTGTATTTATTTGAAGAGCTAGGACAGAGAATGTCGGGGTGCGTACCAACGCTGACACATGTCTGTCTTCCACCAGCATATCTGAACTTGAATTAAAAACAGCATCCACTGTGTGACTGTCTTCTTGTTGCAAATGCTGTAAATATAGACCCAACAGACTCCACACACAGGCCTGTAATTGTCCAAATATCTTAAACACTTGATCAATGTATGTCAGTCCAGTGTATCAGTTACCAAAAGATCATTAGATGTGCCAGCACAGAAGGTGCATAATGTACATGTGCTTTGACTTCCCAGCTGAAGGTGTGCCCTTTCCAAGTACTTCAACATGCATGGTTTCCTGAAATGAACACTAGAGCCTATTTCACAGACTTACTGTAGAGGTACCTTGACCTTTAAATTACCATTCAGTTCGTTTGGCGATTTCAGCTTGTTTGTACATAGTCAATAATGTTTTTTGTCATATTCTACATAGTTAAGAATCCCTATATTCTTGCATTGTACAGGCCTGTGTTTACCTTGTTTACAGTCGCAGTAACCCCAGTCCACTCTGCCCCTGTGGCTCCTGAAAAAGCACCAAGGACGGATCCTGCCGTCAGGGTTGCGACAGTGGTTGTGCTCTCCTATTCCTTTGCCCGGGTAGCGCTCCTTGAAGCCGGCCACTTCGGTCCAGTTCATGCACCGGCTGCCGGACTCGGTGACGTCTATCGCTCCCCGGTAAAAGCCGTCTTTCCCACGGCTCTGGACGCAGTCAGTGAACGGCAGGATAAATGAAGGGACGCTGCTGGAATAACAACAGCCGCTGATCGCAGCCAAAAGCGCGACTGTTAGAGCAACAACTTCCAAATTCATGTTAGGGATCTGCTTGTAGGCAGCTGATGACAGAAGAAATATTATTAGCTTCTATCATCAGCTTGAGATAAGCTTTCCAGTCAGGCTCATCGCTCCGCCGTGGGACGAGAGTGAGAGCGAAGAAACGACGCGGATCAATGAAACTCGTATTTGCGTGGGCTAATGGACAGACAGCCCCCAGCGAAAGCTCAGTTACATAGCTTATAATGTCGTAATAAAAAAATCATATAGTATTTTTAGTCATACTTGTGATTTTATATTCACTCAATGGGCATATAAGCAAAGCACTAGACCAATTTTACTATAGGTCTAGTGAGCAGACCCTATATAATATAATTCAGACATACAATCTTAGAACACATTAGTAACAGTTTACATTTAGGGCTCATACCACAAACTTTTGAGTAAATAATAGTCTGTTGTTGAGACAACATGACCACCACACAATGCTTGTTTGATTTGGCTTAGCCTTCTGTTTTCTCAAACGTTAGTTTTGTTTAGGCATATGCTTTATGACTTTTGACTAAGCTACAATAACCTTAACATGGGTGAATGATGAATCTCTCCATCTCCCTCTTTCTCTGTGTGTGTATATAACGGACTGAAATACTTTATAAGATGATTTTCCTTGCGTTTGTGTGTATCATGTACAATATATGTGTGTAGGGGGGAGAGGGAGTAAGGAAATACAGATGGACTACAAAGCGCCCTGACTATCTAGTATTTAGTCTCTAATTGGAGGAGGAATGTGTAAACGTTAAAATTATGTGCCCCATATAGTGACATCATCACACGGTGCCCAGTCACTCACAAAAGTGTTCACTGTTGATTAAAACCAGCGTACGCCGATACTCGCCCAGATAGGCGGAGTCAGCACGCGATAAATGGCTTCCTTCGCCGGACGACCTGCTTTAACCGGGCTTCCAAGACCGTCACAGATACAAGACCCGTCTCAGTATACATAAGCAACTGCGAACAACCATTGAGTAGCTCTTTTTTAGGTCCACATCCATTATAGCAACTAAAGTAAACTCCACCTCCTTCAAGGCCTTACATCACACCCGAACGCCCCGGGTATGCATAACGAGTGCACCCATTGTGATTTTTAGCGGCTGCTTCATGTTAGCTGGTTGTTGACCATCTTTCCAACCAGATTCATGTGAAACGTTTTGCTGTAACAATGATCGCGGGCACTTAATGGTTAATTAGAAAATATTACAAGGGCTGAAATGGATAGCAGACTGCAAGAGATTCGCGAGCGACAAAAACCAAGGCGGCAGCTTTTAGCACAACTGGCAAGTAATTAGCCTTTGTTGTTAGCAAGTAACTTAGCTAATCAGGAACTTAACCAGTCAGCTATGTCCATTGATAAACGGTGTCACTGATAGATAACTAGCGCTAAGCATTCAAATTTGTACAAAGACAAATCATGATAACCTAGCTGACATCCCTCTGACAAGCATTTCGATTAGTCGCCTTCGAGTGGACACAAAGCGCAAATAACGCTAACTTCATTGTAAATGTGAATGAATGGCATCAACAGGTTGAAGCTGTTTGAGCTATACAGCAAAAATGACATCACAGCTTCAAAACATGTCAGTTGGATACATATAAATAAAAAAAACATAAGTTTCCAAGGTTATTTTATGTGATATGTACATAAAGGGTGAACATATACGCTGTGTGGTATTAATAAATACATATGCAGAGTGTGCTTTATATAATACAGAAGAAAAGTACCAAAATTCGACCATTAATAATTCTTGTTTGTCCACAGCTGGGAGCTGAAAGCGCAGACAGTATCGGATCTATCCTGAACAGTAGAGATGAACTGAAAGAGATAGAGGAGACAAGAGAAACATGCAGGTAAGATGCCAATAACCACCATAAAATAATGGAACATGCTGCCCAAATGGGTCAGTAATCACAAAAAGAACAAAGGAGGAATGCAGTATAAAGCAGAAAAGTGAGATAAATTTATATGCTCAGTGGATTTTTCCATTCAAATGTTGCACTCTTGTTAACCAAATTTTGAAATTCAGTAAACGACAATGCCAGTGTGTGTGTGTTTCCGTTCACTTCTGTTATGCAACTTGTAGGAAATGCTTTTAGTGCTGGTTCAAAATGAACAAATCAATCTTTTCTGGTGGTATTTTGCAAGTTTCATACAAACTGACCAATATTGTGTGATTCCCCTCCCGTTTGTACACACATTCACCATCTTTTTTTCACTTTTCTACCTCCCCTGCTTTTTTTTTTCTTTGGCATATCATTGTAAACATTTGTTCATCTTGCTTACCAGTTTGGTCTCATTGCCATTGTTGGTGCCAAAATGTTGACTTATTGCTTTAGTGGGAAATCAAATCTAAGATTGAGTATGGGCTGACTGTGTTTTCCAGGGCTTCATTTGATAATTTAGTCCCACCTTCTAAAAGGAAACCTCAGACGGAGGGAGAGGACACAGAGGAGGATGTAGAAGAACAAAAAGTGAGTGTAATCACATTATAGCATTATGAATCTACTTGGGTTAAAGCCAACAGAGGCTGTTAACATGTTTAAATGATGCTTGGTGGATGTCGGGATGTATCATTGATTTATCAATTTAAATATTTGAACACTGAAATATGAAGGATACTTATGGATAATTTTGAGATTAATTTGTGTGTTGAGAGAAATGTACTCTGTTTTTCATGTGACTGATTTGAAACTAAGAATCTTGACAATTTTACAGTAAGCCCTTCACTATACTAGCTAATGGCTATAACTTTATTATCATTGTTATTTCACTTGTTTTACAAATTATGTAAACATTCCTTTCAGTTGTTTTCATGTACCAACCACAAGTTCCTGACATTCAGGTAAAGGTTCTGTTCATAGATGAAATGTCAGTGTGTTTGTGTGTGTGTGTGTGTGTGTGTTAGGATGAAGTGGAGGTGCAACAGCTGGATGAAAGCAACCCATATGAAGAGGTGTACAAAGACTCAAGTACTTTCCTTAAGGTTTGACAACTTGCTGCCTCTTCCTTTTTACACATACTTCACTGATATAAATAAACCAGTTTCCTGAATGCATAAAGTAGCTACAAGAGCTCCAACTGCGGGCAAAAACCGTAAAAGTGGTCAGTGTTGGGCATGTTTTTGTATTCACACTACAATGCTTATTACTGTACATGCAATAAAGCCTCAGTGGGTAACAAAAAATGCACATGCGGTACTTGCAGAAAGTGATTGTATCAGTTTTGCCTGCAGACAGACTTCCAACGCTGGTATTTGTGAAGCATAGCAATCATTTCACCTGCAGCATTCTTACAGCCCTACTGCCGACTATCATGCGTTTATGTTAGCAGGCTGATTTGTTTAATCTTCCCTGGGCTTTGGCCCTGCTGTGGACATCACAATGCGCTCAAGGGACTTTTACCCCAGGGACAGTTCTCGGGCTTTAGGTCCTGGGAATAAAAAGCATCGGGTACTTTGCTGGAAATGCAGCATTATAAAACACTACAACAGCAGACAAAAAAGTATGTAAAACTAACTTTGTCCAACTGGTAAATTGTTTTTAAGCTTTGTGGATAGTTTGAAGCAACTAGTAGAAGTGTGCTCCAGTCAATCTCATTTCTGAATATAACTGTGGAAAGATCCAGAATTACTCTGCTTATGCCCAGCAAACTGATATTGCCTGAAGACTTCGATGTGGGTAATCTGAGATTATGGTTCCAGCTGTTGAGTAAAGGCTGCAAAGTGGAGTTCTTCCTTTTCACCTGCCCAGAGCATTTAGGTCATCTATATAAGGGTATCACCTTCTGATATGTGTGGTATAAAGTTTGACCTCACTATTAAATGCACATTCCTCCTTCAAGAGTCCCACATAGAGGCAGCAGAGGGCGCCAGAGCTACCCCTTCAGTTTGTTAAATAGTCCCTTCAAAGTCCCCTCATAGTTATTGGATAAGATAAGCTAGGGAGGTTAACGCTTCATTTTGAAGGGTCACGCTGTAGAGAAATTCAGTGCCAAATGTAACTAAGGTGAGGTCATCAGTGTCCAGAGGTGTGGGATGTAATCTACATGTTTAATTTGGGAATGCAGAAATGGGGGGAGTTATGTAGCATGGTGTATGCATTCTTTTTGTCTCGCTAGTTGTTATGACACTGGTGAGAATTGCAGGAAGAGGAAACAGATAAATATGAATTTGCACTGACTGGTAATCCAGGAACTCAAAACCTATGTGGAAAAGAAACCAAAAGTCAGTTTTTCATTATCATAATTTGACAAGCTGGTAATGTTTTAAGTCTGGGAATAATTCATTGTGTGATTGATTTAAATATTTGAAGATAGTTTGGTTTATAGATGTATTAAGTACTGGTGCAGTACCAGCGTTTTAAGATCACTGTAGCTGTACATTGTGTCTTTTAATGTACATCTTTAAAAATGAAACTTTAAAATAATGATAACAAGAAAATGACACCACCTCAGCCACATCAAAAGGAAATCCAACCAGACAGGTACTGTACATGTAACAGTTGCTTATGTTGGGTTTCTCACCAGCATTACTCGAATTAGTCGTGTCAAACGCTTTGAATGAAGCCATGGTTGTATTAAGGTTCAACACACTGAATTTCAAATGGCTTGGTGATGCAAATTAGTCAGGGCTCCAGACTGCGAGTGATCAGTCGTATTCTGTGACCAAATTTATCTAAGGTATGATTGACTTTTGTTCGAGGATCACACTGGGTTCACCTGCAAAATAAACAGGTCTGCAGGTCTGTCACTCGCCTGTCTTACAAAGCAGAGGCTTCTAAACTATTTTAGCGCCGGGGCGGAGAGACACTTGGCTGGGTCCCCCAGAATACCTGTGGGGGAAGCACCTGGTGGGATCCCCCCATATTGCTCCTCTCGGCAGGATGTGTTTAGTTCAGGGTTGGCGGGACCTGTTAGCCTTGTGTTCGGTGTGTTCTGTTGTTGCTGTGCTGTTCCCGGCGGTCTTCTTAATAAAAGAGCAGCTCTAGAGAGCACAGAAAAAGGCCAATTCTGTCTCTAGCTTCTTCCTCAAGCTAGCCTTCGTTAAACTATCAAATGTGAAGATCCACAACATCCCTGGACCCCTTTTTTACACTTCAAGTTCATTTGGCACATTTAGTGTAATCACCACAGGCAGCTGCTTAAATCAGCTAGATCACCTGTTATCCTTTTTATGTGTTGGAAACTTTGTACTTGAATCTCTTCTGATGGATCAGGCTCCTGGTGTCACTGAGGGCCACACTGTCCTCCTGCTGATAGACAGCTGGTCTGACGAGAGACGCTGCGCGGACGTCAGTGTCATTGTGGACTGAGTGGATCAAACACTTAAGTCAAACATACATACCAGTTTAAAGTTAGTAGTGGCCAAAACCCACCATCAGGTCCTCCTTTAAGTTGTAGTAAATGAGCTGGTACTAGCCAGGCAGGTGAGAGAGCTCACCAAAGAGCAGAAATTCTTCCTCAGAAGAAAATCGGGCTACAAATTGAAATATGACAGCATCAGCATCATCGTCGTCATCATCATCACGTTGCCTTCTAGGCTATAGAGCACTACAGTGACTACTTAAAAAGAGCTGGAAACTTGTTCCAGAAGTGATTTTTCCCATTTATTGTGATCCATAAGTCTCTCTCTCTCTGACTTTCATTACAAATGTAGGCTATGCACTTTGGATGGTAAGGTTATTCAAAATAACTTTTGCATTTCATTGTAAAACAGAGGTGGTGCCATCATCTGAGACACTTGGTGGCCCTAGTGCCACCCGTAAGAAATGTTAGTCTGGAGTCCTGTTAAAGTGCCAAAAGTCTATATTTACCCGCATTTTCAAAATGCTCCAAATATACATGATGGCCAGACAATATGGAGCAAAATGAAGACATATGACATTTGTTTGAGACTAAAAAACAAAAACAAAAAAAACAAAAAAAGTCAAAGTAGTCAGTGGAATTTTTTGCTGTGTCATTACGAAATGATGTTTGGCTGTTTATTTAAGCTAGTGGTCATAGAGGAATGTTAGTAACGTACTTAACTCCAGTGTCTCACGCAGCATCATTCTGTGAGCTTAGGCTGTTAAGTTTCACAACCTGTGACTAAAATGTTGAAACAACTTTGGTTATGAACATTGTGTATTCAGTATGAGGAAACTACTGACAAAAGCTTCAGCCATGAACTACACCTGTAATTACTGTTAACATTCTATGCTTTTGTTCAACCAAGGACTTTATTTTTAGATTGCTTTGTTCATGTTAGACTAACAGTTAGAGGATCACATGTGTAGTCGGAATGCTTTTCAAAAGAAGGATTTCTTTTTTTTAAGTGGTTTAAGTTAAAAGAGGTTAGAAATGGATTCCAAGTGCCAGTAAAGGTTGGTATATTATTCTTATGGGTGGATGATATTTTCTCTAGTGTGATATATTCTATAAGAAGGTTGTTCCAGTGGTTGATATGTAATGAATTTTTAGATTTCCAGTTTAGAAAGATTGTTTTCTCGGTGATAGAGAGATAAGAAGTGGGCTTTTATATTTAACTGGTAGGTGGTTGACTTCTGTGACATCACCAAGCAGGCAGAGTGACGGGGATGGGGATGGGGATGGGGGGGATTCTACAGCTCAAGATGGTGGAGAGTTTCTCAGTCACCGCTACCCAGAGGGAGTAAACGGGTTGACAGGTCCAAGTAACATGAAAGTAATCTGCGTAATCCAGAGTGCATTGTCAGCAAGCAGAAGGATTTCCATTATTGGCCTTTATTTAGAAAGATGTTTTCACTGCAATATCAAAAAGTTATTTGTAGATGTTGCAGAATGTGTATTAGAACTTGCAGTTTCTAGTAAGTTTCTCCAACTTCATACCTTCAATGTGTATTATGATAAATTTATTGTAATGTGTTTGTTCTTTCATTCTCAGGGCACCCAGAGTTTGAACCCTCACAATGACTACTGTCAGCATTTTGTGGACACTGGGCACAGGCCACAAAACTTCATTAGAGATGTTGGTAAGCATGTACTCACCTGTGTGCGCGTGTTAATATGTGCGGTGCGTGTTCGTGCAAGCGTCTGACCTCTCCGTCTTCTGTGCTTCAGGCTTGGCTGACCGATTTGAAGAATACCCTAAACTTCGAGAGCTGATTAGACTAAAGGATGAACTCATTTCCAGCACCAACACTCCTCCCATGTATGTCAGCCTATGATGTTAACGTTAGCTTAGATATTTTGTGATTTCTTAGTATTGACACTAGTGGAAAATAACATTGATTAAAAATACACTGGCAATTTTAAGTTGGCATCAACTGTTTTGAAAAGACTTGCCTCTATTTGCAGCGTGTGTGTGTGTGTATGTTTCTGTGTTTAGGTACCTCCAGGCTGACCCAGAACACTTTGACCTGCAGGATCTGAAGTGCAAGTTCGATGTAATTCTGCTCGAGCCTCCCTTAGAGGAATACTACAGAGAATCAGGCATTAGCCACACTGAACGTTTCTGGACCTGGGATGATGTATGTTTCTGAACGTTTCTGGACCTGGGATGATGTACGTATACGTGTTTGGCTTGTCTGCATTTGGCACTTGTTGATGCGTTGTCATGACCTTATCAGCAATTTACAATAGTATCACTGGTGGCAATTACAGGAAGAGATAAGTGTGACGCACCAACTGAGTGACACACCTAGTAACTCATGACCGTAAACCACTTGTGGAACAGGTCTGTCATATTTGGATAAGCTGAAAATATTTTATTTTGGAAATTAATTGCTGGTAGTTTTTCCCAGCACAAGGTGCGCAGGTGTCTTTAGGTCAAGGTCAAAGTGTTTATTTGTCACATGCACAGTTAGGAAATTTGTTTCCTTGTACAATGAAATTCTTACTTTGCCGTCCACATGAATGCCACATAATACAAGTGAAATATAAAGTAGATGAGCAATAACACAAATCTAAGGCACTTTAAAGCAGCAGGTGAAGGAAGCAAATAAAAAGGGACTAATGACTCAGTGTTGTCCACACTTCAGTTTTGCCTGTAGAGTTTTGATAATGTGACCTCGGTTTTGACCAGGCCATGTTATCAAATAAAGAAAACTAGTAATTACAGATTGCCCAGTAAGCTATGCTGTCCTCTAATTAGTGAATGATATACAGTATCCATTTTCACTCACTGCTCTTCTCTTTTCTGTGCTGCTGTAGATCATGAAACTGGAAATTGAAGAGATATCAGCTCTACGCTCCTTTGTTTTTCTCTGGTGTGGCTCTGGTGAGGGTCTGGACTTGGGCAGAATGGTAACAGATTTTTCACTCAGTCAGGGGTGCATGTTAAACACCTAGGTTCATTTAACTCATATTCTCTGCTGATTGTGAAACTTAAGTCTAGTGTATTACTTTTACTATGTGTTTGCCAACATGACTTTGAATCATTCAGGAACTCGCTCCTTCTGGGTTCTGCTTACAGCTGCCTTTGGCAATAGTTTGACAATAGGGCTGAAGTGTCTCAGCTCCCTTGAAACATGTTGTCAGTTCAAACCGCACTATTTAGGGTGCAAGCATTCCTACCCCCACCCACTGCAGAAACGTCTTGGTTCATCCGCAGAATGCTGTCAAACGAACAGTATTGTTTTCTTTGTTAATCAGTTGCCTGCCACTCTTGTGATTTATCTCCTCTTCAGCGACACTGAGTCACACTTTGAGTTCAAAAATAGATTTTCTTGTCTTACATGCTTTTCCCAGCAACTTTCTTTCACATTGAACATGTAGGCACAGTTTCCCCCACAGTTTGTCGTTTCTTTGGTTGTTTTTACAGACGTTAACTTTTAAATTTGAGCTTTTATATATACACTCACCTGCCACTTTAATAGATACACATGTACAATTTTATGCAATTCAGTATTCTGACCCTCTCTTGTATTTCGGCCGGTGAATATAATGTAGTCCAGTACAACACCACGTTTAACTATGACCTCAATAATAAACATCATTGAATGTATACATTTATGACAGTTTCACCAAAAACTGAAACATTTTGAGCTTCATAAACACAGATGTTAAGGCAGACGTGTTGCACTGAAGTGCATACAGTTGTACCTAATAAAGTGGCCGGTGACATATAATCTGTCATGCTCGTGTGTGGTGTTGTGTGTGTGTGTGTGTGTGTGTGTGTGTGTGTGTGTGTGTGTGTGTGTGTGTGTGTGTGTTTTCCCAATGAAAACATTTTTATTAGAGTTGATCACCAAATAATTCACAGCTTTTTTTATTTTTAAAGCTAGTTTAGATATTTCGTTGCAGACCGGCTGCTGTAAAAGGTGTTTTCCTGTTATTGTGGTCTTTTTGCTAATGTTGGTAGCAAATACCAGCTTTAAGAAATGCCACAGATATCCAGTTTGTTGTCAAGTAAGTATGTGGAATGTTGTTTTTCTACAATGGCTACAAAGTCTTGTATGCTCTTTCAAAAACAACATCTAACCAGTCAAACTGGCTCAAAAACCAAAACATTGCTCATAAACTTAGTGAGAGTAGAACCGCACTGCAGAGTAAGCCATGCTTTACAGCAGTTCACAGGTTTTGGTTTCTTAAAAACACTGCTGTCTTAATGTCAATACATGAACTCTCACTAACTTGTATTTAAAAGTCAGTATTAACAGACCTAAATTAAAATCTCCTTTAGCTTTGCCAGAGCCTATTTTACCATAATTCCTAACATTACTACACCTATTTCAGTGTTTGAGGAAGTGGGGCTTTAGGCGGTGTGAGGATATCTGTTGGATCAAGACCAACAAGAATAACCCTGGCAAGACCAAGACACTGGATCCAAAAGCAGTATTCCAGAGGACCAAGGTACAGTGAACACACACAGGCCCAGAGGACATGTGGAATACCTGTTCATATTAATGTAAATATTACATCATGTAATAAATGTCTATTTGACTTATAGACACTCAATGTAAAGTTTACAAGGCTCATTTAAACATTATACATTTTAAGTCAAACCAGTGTAACATGTGATGTTCAGTGACATATACAAGCCATTTCCCTCAGGAACACTGCCTAATGGGAATCAAAGGAACAGTTCGTAGGAGTACTGATGGTGATTTCATCCATGCCAACGTGGACATTGACTTGATCATCACTGAGGAGCCTGAGATGGGAAATGTAGAAAAGCCTGTGGAGATCTTCCACATCATTGAGCATTTCTGTTTGGGCCGCAGGAGGCTCCACCTGTTTGGACGAGACTCGACCATCAGACCAGGTGAGATGGAAATACAGTAGTCTTACTGTGGGAAATTTAAGTGACAGCTGCAAGTCGTATGTTTGCTTTAAGTTTCTTAGCGTCACGTTTCTCTGCATCTCACCCGTGTTGTTTTGTCATCGTCTCTTTCTAGGCTGGTTGACAGTGGGGCCTACTTTGACAAATAGTAACTTTAACCCAGAGACCTATGCCTCACATTTTGCCTTGCCAAACTCCAACCTGTCTGGATGCACTGAGGAAATAGAGAGGCTGCGTCCCAAATCTCCTGTTAAACTGAAGTCGGAACGTGGTGGCGGACCACCCAGAGGGGGACGTGGTGGGCCTAATGTAGGAAGAGGCGGGGACAGAGGCCGTGAAAGAAACCGACCAAGTTTCCGTGGGGACAGAGGAGGGTTCAGGGGGAGGGGAGGGCTACATAGGGGATTTCCACCTCGCTAGGGCAAAGAACTCGTACCAACCAGACTGATGCTAGGAATTGCCATCTGCAGTGTATCAAAACACGACTCTTTGTAATGTGGTTGCTACGGGTAAATTGTGACAGCTGAGAAGTTGGTGTGAAGAGTCTTTGTGAATCTTTTTGGTTTTTCATGGATATCCTTTACATTGGATGGATATTGTCTGCATAAACATTGTTTTTACTATTTGTGTTTAGTGTGTTGATTTGTACTGTATGTTAGCCTTGCCTTTGAAAATCAATGCAGTTATGGAAATATCAATATTTCAGTGCTCTAATACGATTGAAAGTCATTTAGAGCAAATGTAAAGTCAGAATCTGTAAGAGAGAGAATGGCAGCAAGTCATGTCCTTAATATTACTGTAGGAAATTGAATATCAGATATCAAGGACAGGTGTCACTTCAGGGTGTTGGGCAACTATCACAGCAACAATAATTACAATCAAGTACTGGTGCAGAGTTCTTACTCTTAATTCCAGGCCTTTCAAAAATACATTGTTTATAACCAAAAACACTCACAGACTGACAAAACAAACAGGCTCCTCAAATGCCAAATGTGTATCAAGTGATTAAAAAGCCATCATCAGCGCAGTTTACACACCCAGTAATTCTGCAGACATAGACACTCAGGTTATCAGTAAAGACCAACCAGGAAGAAGGAAGCCAAGAACACAAGGAGTTTCACGTGACCTCACTAGCCGCCCATTAGCTGATCACACAACCTGCATGAAGAGAGTGTCAGTCAAGCTGATCAGATCCACTATGCACTCGTACAGCACTGTGGAAAGGTCTTAGGTCACCATTAGATCAGTTGTTTTAGCAGTGCTATGATGACTATACATGTTTATTGGTCCGAATACAACTGGAAAATAGAAGAAATAGTACACAGTTTTAAAAAACGTGTCAGAAAAAAATCTTCAAACTGGATACTCGAGATATATCTTAACGAAAGAAATATAATCATAAACCTCGCTAAAGCAGCTAAACTATACAACAGGAAAAATATGTTACCAAAGAGAATAATAAATTGTTACAAAACAATGATAATTCCTCAGTGAGACCTGGATGTTCTCGTAAAATATCTATTTAGATTTTGCTCTAAGTAGTTTTTGGTCATTGTTACCACCTCTGTGTTTTTCCAATCTGTTGTATGGCACAGAATGACAAAGTTGAGACTGAAGGCCCAGTTTCATTGAAATCTGCTTGTGTTCCCAATATGCTGAAGTCCGCATGGACACGGAAGGAGGTAGATAATACCCTGCGATTATGCAGCTGAGACGCTATTTGATTTAAAGGTATTTGTTTTCCTGGAATTGTCATGCACCAGTAGTAACACGTTTTTACTTTACGTATTTTTAGATAATGGTTTATTCTAATTTTGCGGGCTGGCACTCACTTAATTATAGTTATTCCGGTAAGTGGTGTAGTATTTTTTTTATACTACTGCCTTTGTGCCAAGGTATTTGAGCTAATTGGCTATTCTCCTCTGTGCATGCTCTTCATGCCTGTTGAGCACATACGATGAACTGAAGCCAGCAAAGTTTAGGAGTGGTTTCATTTGAGGAACAATGCTCACCCTCTTTCTAAAAATGCTGCTACACTGTGCATACTCCTTTAACAGTTCCTTAGCTATGGGTCTTCAGATAAAATGGCTTCTTGGTTCAACATGAAGTCAGTTCAACTGAACTTTTGTACAGAAATCTGCTGACTTTGTACTTGGAACCATTGTGAGGGTGACTTTGGGGGTGTCTGAAATATTTTAAGAAATATTGCATAAATTGCCATGAAGTTTGATAAAGACATTGGGACCCTTGTCAGGATAAATTGTAACTTTAGTACCTTAATCGGGTCAAATGTTTAATCTCCAGTGGTTTGGTTTATGGAAAATACCTAAAAAGATAATATTTGTCTTCACCTCTAATTGTAACAGTTATAACACACTAGCATCATGAACATGTTAAACATATTTGCTAAATATCAGCATGTTAAAATCGTCTTTGTAGGTACATTGAGAAGCCGCAGCAATAAACCACCTGCCTAATATTGTGTAGGTCACCTAGTAGCACCCTGTAGTTTTTAAAGCACCATTGTGCCTATACTGGCTCACTCTGTACTGTTCAGTGCATATCTATTATAATGACTTATTCATTTATCATTTAATATCAACTAGGAATGATTTTACCAAAATATTTCTATCACTTGGATAAATGGGGTGACTTCAGCACTGTTGTACACACATACAAAAAAACTGCTGAAGGTGATGATAACGTAGTATCTTATTTTACTGGCATTGACAAAGCATGTTCTTTAGCATCGCATCCCAAAGATGGCACTTGGTTTAAAGATGCAAGGGTGTGTTCGGAGATTATGAGGATATGGTTAATGGGGTTAATCAAGTGTAAATGATACTTTGTCCAACCTCTGTTGCCCAGCTGTCATTAAAGTAAAATGTGTCATGGCAGGCCGATGAGCAGTCGGTGCTGATTTTAAAAAGATGTAGTATGCACTTTTATTACATCAAAGCAATGCATCAATAAGCCAAGGAGGGAGAACTAGAAAATGTAGGCTATATTAGAAGTTAACAAAGTGACTCAGCAAGGGAACAAAAAAGCTTAAATGTATCAATATATTAATTCCAAAAATGCCAATCAGTTACTATATTTAAAACCCAGTTATAATTTAATAGATGTTAAAATGCCATTATAGATCATTAAAAGCAGTAATTATTGCATTCCAATGCAAGCCCTACTGCAAAATCATGTTGTTTACAGAGTAGTTTTGGCCTATGACCAATAGATTTAGCTGTCACAGTTTATGAGAACAGGACTGGGGGAAAACATCACTGCCTTAACCCTAATCCAACTGCATTTTGATTTTATCACAGCTTTGGTGTCATGATGATTTTTAATCACAGTATGATTTTTAGCCCTTGATTATGTCACAACCCGGCTCGTAGGGCCTGTGTCAGATGAGGAAGACACATCATGTAAGTTATTACAATCACAGAATTATAAAATGCAACAAAAGAGAAAGAAAGCCTGAACAGCTCACAGCAAATAATCTTAGGATACCTGCAACAGATCGAGAAACAGAAAATAAGGGCAAACCAGAGTAGCAGACAATACAAGGTGCGGGAATTCAGACACAAACCCACAAGCATGGAAAGGTTAACGTTAAAGGATAAAACAGAGAGCTCCCACACAGTGAAATAACAAATTAAGTTTCATAAGCTTGTATCCCATTGTTGTTCGGTCCACTTTATTCGGTTCAGACAAAGCTGGTTCCAGTGTTGATGACTTCATGCTATTTCACACAAACACAACCACACACACACACACACACAAATTGTGGAACAATTGGTGAGTTAGACAACCAGTCATTTTATATGCATTCTGCTGACATGTTGCAAATTCAGCAGCAAACCTTTACTTTTGAAAATTATTGGTATATCAAGTCTTTTACATTGACATATTTGCAGAGTAACTTTAGCATCAGTTCAGTAAGATGGCAGATGGCTTAAAGCTACATAAACTAACTTCTCCTCAGATTTTCAGCCATTAAGGGTGAAGCAAGAGTCAAAACAAAATCAAGCAGTATCCCCTCCTCTTCTGCCTCCGCTCCTCCTTGCTCATCCTACCCTGTCTCTGAAACTACGTCATATGTAGTCATGACAGCCAGAGACACAATGTCAAATAAAGAGGTTTACATTTTAGCGATATGCTGGAATGTAGGAAGACAACACTTCTAGACAATTGTTTACTTGATTTATCTGTATTCGTGCTAAATTGTAGTTAATGCATCTTTAA